ATTGAAGGAATACTACTGTAACTCTGTCCCCTGGCTTTTTTGCTTTGGGGCCACTCCTGTGCTCAAGGATCACTCTGGTGGGGCTTGAGTTTCATAGGGGGTACCTAGGATCAAACCTGGACCTGCTGAGTGTAAGGCAAGTACCTTACCCACTGCACTATCACTCCCCCACCAATCCCACTTGTGGCTTTAAAAGATGTGTAGATTCCCAACCAGCAAGAGGATGGTCCTGCTTGCATCGTGCCCTGTGAGCAGAAAAAATGTCCAAGGTTTTCAAACACAATGTAAAGAGAGGCTAATGAGCACAGAAAAAGGATGTGATAGAAAATTCATCAAATATATCTAGGGCCTAACACTTGGCACCTGAGACTGTTATATTATGGACAAAAAGGATGTTGCTAATGTCATTACAATTCAGACCTGAACATAGGGAAAGTAGCTTGGATTGTCCCTGTGAACGCAACCTAATCAATATTATATCTTGGCAGCAGAGACCTTCTCTGAGTAGAGACTGGAGAGAGGAGGTAAGAGAGGACGTAAGAATTCCCTACTGCTCATTTGAAAATGAAAGAGACTTGAGCTGGAAAATGGGAGTAGCCTCTAGAACCTGAAAAGGACCAGTGGCTGGCAGCCAGTAAGGGACAGGGACCTCAGCAATACAGCCATGTGGCACAGAATTCTTCCGACAACTTGAATGAGTCTGGAAACTGGTTCTCTCCCAGGGCCTGTGGCTCAGAGATCAGGTGACATGAAAATTTTGTCAATTGGACCTTGACCAAATCTGGTGGGCCTAGCAGGGACACTAGTTAGGCTCACAGACACTTTCAATCTACACCATAGGAGATAACTGTTTCAAGCTGTTAAACCTGTGAATTGTTGGGTTAGAGAAATAGTACAGTGGATAAGATGCTTGCCTTGGATGAAGCTGACCCAGGTTTGATCCTAGCATCACATATGGCCCCCGAATATTACCAGGAGTAATTCCTGAGTACAGAGCCAATAGTAATCCCTGAGCATTGCTGGGTGGTGTAGCCCCAAAACAAAATCTGTGAATTGTTATGGTAGCAATTAAAAAAAAATCAATGAACCATCTCATCAGAAGTATGGTTCTATTTCTTCAAGAAAATAACGTTAAAGGTATTTTGAGTTGAAAACACCCATACTCCCACTTAAAGCAAAACTCTGTGTGCACACATCTCCAGTTATTTACAGATCAACCTGTATACACACACACACACTTGTTATAAATGATCAGGATCGGGGTCTGGAGACAGTGCAGTGGGTTAAAGTGCTTGGTTTGTGCATGGCTGACCTGGGTCCAATCCCTGGCAGTTCAACCCCCATCAGGTGTGATCCCAGAGCACCGCCAGGATGGCCCAAAATCTTCTTCTTTTTTAAAGTTTAACTTTATTTTGCTTTTTGGGTCACACCTGGCGATGCACAGGGGTTACTCCTGGCTCTGCACTCAGGAGTTACTCCTAGCGGTGCTCAGGGGACCATATGGGATGCAGGGAATTGAACCTGGTGGTCATGTGCAAGGCAAACACCCTACCCACTGTGCTATCTCTCGAGCCTCCCAAAATCTTTTTTTTTTTAAAGTAGATGTTGGATAAATGATGATATTTGGAAGAATGATTAAATTGTACAGTGCATCCATATAATGCAGTTAGTCATTAATTTAAAATAATTTCTCATTTAAGTAAAATGCAGCTAGAGTGTTGCCTCATTGGGCTGAGTGTATGCTTTGTGTGCAGGAGGCCCAGCTTCAATCTCCCGCTGTGCATGGTGCTCCGAGAACAGAAAACTGCTTGGGGTAGCCCCTGAGCACTGCCATGTGTGGCCCTGAAACCAAAACTAAGTGGAGTAGTTCTGAGTATGTAATGTGGAATATTCAGAGCTACATCATTCATTTCCAGTAGTAAAAAAACTACATATGCACAGAAAATAAGAAAACGTATCCAAATATTTACAAGACACTATCCTTAGAAATATGGTTATGGTCTATTTTAGTTTTGTTTTAAACACATACCCATTGGGTGCTGGGAAGGCTACTCCAGGTTAGATGTTTCAGGGTGCTGGGGGCACCATACCATGTTGGGTGCTGGGGATCAAACCAGGAATTCCTACATGCAAAACTTGTGTTCCAGTCCTTTGGGTCATATCCTCAACCAATTCATGGGTGATTTTTTCTTTTTTTACAGTGAACTTTTGTATAGTCTAGTGGGTAGGGCCTTGCACGAGTTCAGCCCAGGTTCCATCCCTAGCACCCCATATGGTTCCCCGCGTCTACTTAGAGTAATCCCTAAGTGCAGAGCTGGGAGTTAAATCCTGAGCACGACTGGGTGTGACCCAAACAGCAGAAGGAAAAAACAACAATAAAAACAAAAAACAGTGAACTTTGTTTATTGTTTGTGTCTTGCAAACACTGAAATCTGAGGAAGTACTTGTCAGTTGATTTTATCGAAATACTTCAGTTTTCCAGCTGGATCTGGGATGATTGTTTCGCTACCAGGCTTCCACCCAGCAGGGCACACTTCTCCATGTTTGTCAGTGTATAGGAAGGCTTGAACCAAACGCAGGGTCTCATCCACCGACCTACCCACAGGAAGATCATTCAGGGTAATCTGTCTCAGAATTCCTTTGTCATCAATAATGAAGAGGCCTCTAAGAGTGTGGCCAGCATCTTCCAGATACACGCCATAGTCCTTGGAGATCTGATGGGTCAAATCTGAAAGAAGGGGAATCCTGATTGGCCCCAGACCTCCTTGTTTCCGAGGTGTATTAATCCAGGCCAAATGGGTAAACTGTGAATCAACAGAACATGCAGCAACTTCTGTATTTATTGATCTGAATTCTTCAATTCTATCACTGAAGGCGATGATTTCAGTTGGACAAACAAAAGTGAAATCTAGTGGATAGAAGAAAAAAATCAGGTACTTCCCACGATAATCAGTCAGCTTCAGCTCCTTAAACTCTCCATTTATCACAGCTATTCCTTCCCAATAGGGTGCTGGCTTGGAAACTGCAATACTGTCGGTCAACTCCTCACTTTCTACTGGGCTGTAGACAGGAGTCCGCTGTCGATGTATTTCTCGTTGCTCCCATTCTTCTCCTTCCCTGGCCTCCTGTTCCACCAGTAGGGGAAATGGGACCCTGGGGTTTCGCGGCTGAGTTCCAGGGATTCTACCCAGACCTTTGGTCCTAGGTCGGCTTCGGTGTTCCATGTTGACTGTTGGACAAATAGCCACGAAGTCTAGGCCCCGAACTGAACTTCTCTATTGGGGAACTGAGAAAGAAAGATTAGTATGGGAACTATTTCATTATTCCACTCCTCTGGACTGAGCATAGGTGCTCTAGTGGGTAGCTGTCCACCAAATGGGACCCAGTGATCCTCCTTCCACTGGAGGAAATGGTCAGGTTCAAGTTCCCAGGCACTATTCCCAATGGGTGATCTTTGACTTGGAAAATTTTTGTAGTTTCCAAAATACCCTCTAGGGGCCAGAATGATAGCACAGTGTGTAGGGGATTTGCCTTGCATGTAGCCAACCTGGGTTTGATCCCTGGCACCCCATATGGTCCCTTGAGCCCTGCCAGGAGTGACCCTTGAGTGCAGAGCCAGGAGTAAACCCTAAGCACCACTGGGTGTAAGTCCCACCCTGCCCCCCAATCCTCCAATGTATATTACTTTCCAATATATATATTAGCTTCTAAACAGAAAAGGTGATTTTTATGATAAAAAAGCCCAACCTTTTAAAAATATCCCTGAGGGAAGGGTATCCAAATTAGTGCCTTATTCGTGCAAGGCTCAGCCCTATAAGCCTCTTTTTTGTTTGTTTTTGGGCCACCTCCAAGGTTGACTCCTAGCTCTGTGCTCAGGGATCACTCCTGAAGGGCTCAGGGGAACATGTAGGATACCTGTGAGTCGAAGAGCAAGCAAGCACCCTATTGTAAAGCTACCCACTGTACCCACTGTATGGCTACCCACTGTACCAATTGTTTGGCCACCCACTGTACCCATTGCATGGCTACCCACTGTACCAATTGTTTGGCTACCCACTGTACCCATTGTAGGGCGACCCATTGTACCTATTAGTATGGCGACCCATTGTACCCACTGCATGGCTCCAGCCCCCATAGACCTCATTTTTAAAGGTGCAGAAACCTAGTCCCTTGGTCAGGAACTAGAGAAAAATTCAGAGCAAGAGACTCTAGGAGTTAGGGCCTAGGGGTGTGGCTTACACTGAAGGAACTAAAAAAGCTGATCAAGACCTTGGGGGGGAAAGTCTCTCTTCACGGCTGGCTCCTTGGGTTGTTTAAGAGCGCCAATTCCTTATTCTCTACTTTTCTGGCACCTGTTCCTCACGATCCCTTAGTTAGAGTTAGTAGTGATGAAAACGGAAGTGTCACTTTTGTGCTGTTGAAAGCAAGCAGCAGGGGACAGGGTGAAGTTGAATCATCCCCGAGAACCAGGCCCTAAGGAATGTATTTCAAGGAAGGAACGTTTCTAAACGAAGAACGAACCCGCTTTGGTCTACTTTAAACCAATTCACGTAAACCATGAAAGTTCGCGTGAATAAACCGTCGGGGAACCTCGCTAGGCAGGGGGTGGGACCTCCACGTTCAACCGTTAATCCCGGGGGGGGGGCGGGGAGGAGTGGGGGCACCGAGGGAACAGCCCACGGGTTTCAAAATGGAAAACCCGCCAGCAGGGCCTCATCCAACCCCTCAAATCGGCCACTTGAAGAGGTCCTCTTGCCTGGAAGGGGCGCAGATGGCCCCGAGTAACAACAGCCAGATGTCCCCAGGGCCGCCGACTGAGACCCCGGACGGTCCCAACGGCTACGTGTGCGCTCTCGGGCGGGGGCGGGGCTTACGCTATTCCGCTGCCAAATCCCATGCGCAGGAGGCGGGCACATTTCCCAGGTTTGGCACTGATTGGTCCATCTCAAGCCCTCGGCAGCCGATTGGCTGTTATTCTGGGGCGGAGCCACGTGGGGTGCGAGTGAGTGTGGTCGCGGCGCGCGGCGCCGGAAGCTCCCCGGAATTACGCGCGCCGGAGACGACGGCATCCCTGAGGCAGCTCTTGCAGACGTGTCCGTGGACCATGAGCGTGGGCTTCATCGGCGCAGGCCAGCTGGCCTGTGCCCTGGCGCGGGGCTTCACGGCCGCAGGCGAGCGCGGGAAGGCGGGAGGCAGGAGGGGGGCCCCTACCCTAGTCTGTGACCCCTCTCCCCCGCAGGTGGAATGAATGAGTGAATGAAGGCGGACTTTACATTTGGTGGGGAAGATGAGAGCCCGGGAAGGGCTGAGGGGAGGAGATGGGGACCGGTCATCCCCAGGAAAGCTGGCAGAAGACTGATCTGCGACTTCCAGACAAAAAGGTCTTTTTGGCTCAAGTCGGCACCGGGGATCAACCCTCAGCATCCATATGGTTCCCCTGAGCATTGCCAGGAGTGTTCCCTGAGTACAGGACCAGGAGTAAGCTCCGAGCTGGGTGTGGCACAAAACAAACAAAAATTTTTAAAAAAGGTCTTTCTGACTTAAGTACGTACGAGGCCCTGAGTTTGATTTCTGGCATTGCATGTCTCCCTGAGCACCTCCAGGTGTAGTCTTGGTGCCCCAGTACCTTGTCCTGAGCATCGCAACCTGCAGACCCACCCCACACCCCCACACCATCTCTCTGGACAGAGATGATGGTGGGGGCCTTATTGAAAGTAACTCAGTGAATGAAGAGCCCTGTCTTTCGCAGGCATCCTGTCGGCTCACAAGATAATAGCCAGCTCCCCAGAAATGGATTTGCCCACGGTGGCCGCGCTCCGGGTAGGTGGGGCCAAGGGGGTGGGGAGGTGGGTGGAGACAAGGAGGTTGTGCTGTCCCAGATAAGCTGAGCCCTGGTTGCTGGGGTTGCTTGTCAGGGCAGTAAGTCCCTACCTTCCTGGGGCAGTTTAGTGAGGCAAGATCCAGGCAGCACTCTGCATTTGGGTTCAAATCCACACACTGGGGTCCTGTGGAGAGGAATCAGGAAAACAGGTTTTCCTGGCTTCTGACTTCCTATGGCACTACAGTAAGTAGAAAATATCCTCTGGCTGGAGAGATAGCACAGAAGATAGGGTGCTTGCCTTTCATGCAGCCAACCTGGGTTCAATCCCTGGCACAGGATACCGTCCCCTGAGCATCACTGGGAGTGTCCCTAAAACCAAAGAATAAATAAATAAATAAATAAATTGAAAATACCCTGAGTGAAAAAATGTCTTTAATGAATCTGGCCTCCCAAACATCATGGCTTAGCCCTGCCTGTCTGAAACAGGCTCGGAAGACCTACATTCACTTGCAAAGTCACGTAGCACTGAGTGTCTTATAGTACAGTGTTGATTATCTTAGGCATTTTGACTACTCCTCAGCATCATGATAGCAGGACCTGGTGGGTTCCTATATTGCTAGCCAGGGAGAAGATGGAACTGCAGTAACTGTTTTCTGTGGGATGCACACCGCTCACTGCAGCATATTGCACCATTATAAAGTTGAGACAAGGTAGATCCACACCGTGGCAAGGTCAGAAGTGGTTGGACTGGTTTCTTCATGGACTCTGTGGCTGCCAAGTACTCAGTCACCCCGAGGCTCAGTTCCCTCGTTTAGAAGCAGAAGCTGAGAACTCTGGGTTTGATAATGAGGCATGAATGAGTTGGATAGGAAAAAATCTGACAAGTTAGTTTTTTTCTCTCAAAACTGTATCTCCCATTGGGCTGGAGAGATAACCCAGCGAGTAGGGTGCTTATGTTCTAGGCAGCCAACCTGGTTTCCATCCCTGGCACTGCGTACGGTACCCTGAGCCCTGTCAGGCGTGATCTCAGGTAGAGACTCAGGAGTAAGCCCTGAGCACTGCTGAGTGTAGCTCAAAACTGAGGGGGTTTAAAAAAGAGTATCTTAGACCAGAATATAGTACAGGAGTTAAGGCACTTAACCAAGACTTCACCCCACTCTGGGGAGTATAGATGGGGGGGATTCTGCAGGGAAGATAACTGTTAATGTAGGAGATGGTGATCGTGCCTGGGAGGATAGAACCCTGCTTCGAAGGTTGATTGATGAGCAGATGGCCAGGGTGGGCACTGGGCCTGTCCTGGCAAGGTGCTAGAGTGTTGTTGGAGATGAGGGACAGCCAGGGAGAAGTGTGTCTGAGCCTGGCCAACTTAGTGCGTAAGGGGTGGTCAGTCCCTGGGGAGCACAGGGCATTGTGGCCCACAGACTCATCTCCACTCACAGAAAATGGGAGTGAACCTGACCCGGAGCAACAAGGAGACCGTGAGACAGAGTGACGTGCTGTTCCTGGCCGTGAAGCCACACATCATTCCCTTCATCCTGGATGAGATTGGGGCCGACGTCCAGGCCCGGCACATCGTGGTCTCCTGTGCGGCCGGGGTCACCATCAGCTCTGTGGAGAAGGTGCCTATTTCCGCCCAAGGCCCTGGGAGGTGGGGGGAGTGACAGCCTTGGAAGTGACAGCCTTGGAGGAGGGTTGTCGGGAGAAGGGTGCTGCTGGGGTGGGTGCTGCCAAGGACGGTGCTGTGCCAACTGCCCCCAACCCTTTTTTCCACCTCAGAAGCTAATGGCCTTCCAGCCGGCCCCCAAGGTCATCCGCTGTATGACCAACACACCTGTGGTGGTGCGGGAGGGCGCCACGGTGTACGCCACGGGCACGCATGCCCTGGTGGAGGACGGACAGCTGCTGGAGCAGCTCATGAGCAGCGTGGGCTTCTGCACAGAGGTGGAGGAAGACCTGATCGACGCCGTCACTGGCCTCAGCGGTAGCGGGCCTGCCTATGTGAGACCCTCACTTGCACCCTTCCAGCACCCCGGGGAGCAACATGAGCTGGCGGATGGGTGTGGGCAGTGGGTTCCTCAGCCTTGTGGTATGTGTGTGTGTGTGTGTGTGTGTGTGTAAGAGTGTGTGTGTGTAAGAGTGTGTGTGTGTGTGTGTGTGTGTGTGTGTGTGAGAGAGAGAGAGAGAGAGAGAGAGATACCTGGCATCAAGCGCAGGGCCTTGTGAGCTCAAGACAAGCGCTGTTCCACTGAGGTGATGGCCCTGGGCACCCGAGGTGCCCACTGCAGCAGGATTTACACAGCATCTCCGCAGGCATTCATGGCCCTGGATGCGTTGGCCGATGGAGGGGTGAAGATGGGCCTGCCAAGGCGCCTGGCAGTCCGGCTGGGGGCCCAGGCCTTGTTGGTCAGTAGCTTCCCTCTGCATGTGCTCTATAAAGGTTGGGGGGGCGGGGCCTTGAGCTGGGACAGGGGTTGGGGACAAGCACCACAGGGGTTGGGGTGAGCCTCAGCCTGGGCCGAGGCACGCATGTGTGGGTCACTGCAGCTCCTCTCCTGCCCTAGGGGGCTGCCAAGATGCTCCTGGACTCGGAGCAGCACCCTGGCCAGCTCAAGGACAACGTGTGCTCCCCCGGCGGGGCCACCATCCACGCGCTGCACTTCCTGGAGAGTGGGGGCTTCCGCTCACTGCTCATCAATGCCGTTGAGGCCTCCTGCATCCGGACACGGTGGGTGGCTTCCTCTGCCTCTGGGCTGGGCAGCGGCTCGTGGAACTTTCTGTCTGTGTCCACCTGGCCCTGATGGAGCCTGCACAGTGGAAACTGCCAGTGACCTGACTTTGGTTAGCCGAGCCTGCCTGCCCTCCTGACTCTGTTTCTAACCCAGTTCTCATGGCTGGGGTTTATCGATGAGAGGTTGAGGCTCAGACCATTTCCCCAGGGTCCCAGAGCTGTCCTAAGTGACAGAGGAGGCAGGAGGATGCCAGGGGCCTCTGCCTTCCCACACTTATCTGTGGGAGACCCAGTCTCAGTGAAGGGGCTTGGTAAAGCTTGGGGGAGACAGTGGGTCAAGACTTTCCTTTTTCTGTTGTTTTTGTATTTGGGGAGAACCACACATGCAGTGCTCAGGGCTTACTCTAGCTCTGGCAAGCTTGGGGGACCATATGGGGTGTCGGGGATTGAGCCCGGGTCGGCCATATGCAGGGCAAGCTCGCTCCTGGCTGTCCAGCCACTCTGTCTCTGGGGCTTTTCTGATGGTTGCATGTCAGCAGGGTTTGGGCGGTTCTGTGAATGGGGAGGATGAAGCCCCCCATTCCTCCTTCAACTTCTCTGGGGCTCTGTCCACAGGGAGCTGCAGTCCATGGCTGACCAAGAAAAGATCTCCCCCGCGGCCCTCAAGAAGACCCTCCTGGACAGAGTGAAGCTGGAATCCCCTTCTGTGTCCACATTAACCCCCACCAGCCCGGGGGTTCTCCTCACGAGAAGCCCAGGGCCGGGAGGCAAGAAGGACTAAGGGCCCTCCTGGGGGTCTGTCCAGGGAGGGGGCCACTCAATCATCCTGGGCAGGTGAGACTGGGATCCCCATGTCCCACTTTGGGAGATGCTCGGGAGTAGAGGGGGCACCAGAAGCCAGGTGTAGCCCCGCAGACCTCTAGCTATTGGGAGAGAAGCAGGAGGGTTCCAAGGGTTCTTCACCCAGAACCCTCAGCAGGGTCCGTGTGCTACCCAGTCAGGAAGGTTAGGTCTGAGCGAGGGCCTACCCTCCTAAATAAATGGGGAACAAGCAAGCAACTTAGAACTGTCCAGTGAATCAGCAGCGTAAGAAGCGAAACTGTGCTTCTGTATAACTCTCGCTTGAATCTAGGCCAGCCTCTGGGTGCGTTATTCGGCGCTGCTAAGTCGAACCCTTTCATAGACGTTTTTTATTACCCTGCTTGTCTTAATGCTGAATCTTGTCATCAATCTTTTTTCCCTTGGGGGTGGGGTTTTTGTTTTGTTTTGTGTGGGGGCCATACCCAGTGGTGCTCAGAGATCACTTCTGATGGGGCTTGGGGAGACCATATACGGTGCTGGGGATTGAACCTGGTTTGTTCTTTTTATTTTGGGGGGGTGGCGAGGGCACACTCGGCAGTGCGCTCAGGTGTTACTCCTAGCTCTGCACTCAGAAAGGACTCCTGGCGGTGCTCTTGGGGGACCATATGAGGTTGAATGAGGGACCAAATCCAGGTCAACCGTGTGCAAGGCAAATGCCCCCCCTCCCCCCGCTGTACTATCTCTTCAACCCCAAACCTTGTTTGTTTTATTTCTCTGGTCCTTGTCATCCTGGAGGACTTGGTACTTTTGTAGGTGTAAGCAGTGGACAGAAGAGGAGGTGAGGGCCAGCCCCTGAGGGCTGTCATGGCCTGCGGATGGGCCTGAGCCGGGTCCCGGGAGAGGAAGCCCCCATCCAGGCACATGGTTGTCAGTCTCTGGGGGTTGGAGATAAGCAGCTCATAGTGCTGCTGGCCTCCTGCTCTCCTGCTTCCCAGAAGCTGAGGCTGGGGGTTGCCGCCCCCCCCCCCCCCCCCTTGCCCCGCCGAGCTCTTGGCTTCCTTCCTCCTGGGAAGCTCCCTGCCTGTGGCACAGGCAGCAGTCTCAGCTGTGGGTTCAAGCCCACTTCCTTTCATTCTTTTCTTTTTGAGGGACCGGACCCGGCGGTGCTCAGGGATCACTCCTGGCACGTGCCCTGCCCACTGTACCTGTCTCTCCAGCCCCTCCACTTCCATTTTCTTTTTCTTTTCTTTTTTTTCTTTTTGGGTCACACAGCGATGCACAGGGGTTACTCCTGACTCCACACTCAGGAATTACTCCTGTCGGTGCTCAGAGGACCATATGGGATGCTGGGAATTGAACCCCGGTTTGCTGTGTGCAAGGCAAATGCCCTACACACTGCTATCATTCCAGCCCTCCACTTCCATTTTCAACCTGCCCCCTCAGAGACATGCGGTACCCTGGACCCCAGGTGTATTGTCCTCTGTATTGTCCTCTGCTGGCAGTGCCTCCGCGGGTCTGGATGAGACTGTTTGCATCCTGCTTCCACGCTCATGCTCAGTGCTGGCAGCTGGGTGGTGAGAGCCGTGGATCCAGGGCACATGGCAATCACTTCCCAGGGAGCTCTTCTGCCCCTCACTGAGGAGCAAGAACCTCCCGCCTCTCCCGGGCAGCCCAGGCTCTGACCCCAAACCTTAGCCCAGGGCTCAGATTACTCCACAGCAACAAATGCAGTGCTGGAAACTAGCTGCCTCGGGGCTGGAGAGAGCACAGGGGCCATAGCGGATTCCACTCCCACCAGAAGTGACCCCTGAGGACAGCCACCTGTGACTCATAACACACACACACACACACACACCGACCCCTGCCCCCTGCCAAAAGAAAGCTGCAAAACCTTTTGTTTGTTTTTGAACCCAGTGTTCAGGGTTTACTGATGGTTTAGTGCTCAAGGATCACTTCTGGTGTTGCTTGGGGGACTGTTTTCTCTAGCTCCACATTCTTTTTCTTTTTTAAGCAGTATGAAAGGCCAGAGTGATAGTACAGTGGGTTGGGCACTTACTAGAGCTGATCTGGGTTTGATCCCCGTAATCGCATATGGTCCCCAAGTCCCACCAGAAGTGATTCCTGAGCTCAGAGCCAGGAGTCAGCCCTGAGTACCACAAGGGGTGGCCCCCAAACAAACAAACTGATATGAAATAATTGATTCCTCCATTATTATCACTACTTATACTTGTGGTCCTGGGTAAGGGGAGCTGAAATCAAACCAAATCCTGGATAAGGTTGTGGATGTTGGCTCAGAAATCATCCTCGACAGTCTGCTTGTTGATATCTGTCCTGCTTAGCTCCTAGGAGTTCATGCTTGGTTTTTTAAAAAATAGTATCTTGGGCTGGAGCAATAGTACAGCGAATAAAGCACTTGCCTTGTGTGTGCCTGACTGGGTTCAATCCCCAGCATCCCATATGGTCCCCCACACACTGCCAGAAGAAATTCCTGAGTGAGAGTCAGGAATAACCCCTGAGCATTTCTGAGTGTGGCCCCAAAACCAAAAAAAAAATAAAATAAAATAGCATCTTTTTCTTCATTTTTGAAGAGTTGAAGTGAATTCAGCAGTGTGCGTGATACATCTCCCAACTCCTGGTATCGCCCTTCTCAGCATTTTGTCTCACATGCATCCATTTCAACCTGGTTCTTTTCTAAGAGGGAGGAGCTTTCAGTTTTTCAAAGGGGCCACCCTCAGTGGTCACCCCTGCGAGGGGTCAGTGGTGTGGGGCTTGGTACTTCAGACTGGCAGATTGGTGCTTGGGGCTGGTGACACTAAACCAGGGCTGCATGTAGCAGAGTTGTCAGGGACAGAGGGGCAGCATGCAGTGCTGGGGATCATACTGAGCATCTCACACATGCCCTACAACAATGAGTCTGATCCCTGACCCTCACAATTATCATTTTTTTAGCCCTATTATAAGAAAGGTCCTTGGCAAACCTTTCATATAAAATCCCATTCTGGGGACTGGAGAGAGTACAGGGGTAAGGTGCTTGCCTTGCATGCAGCCTGATTCCTGGAATAGCATATGGTCCCCCAAGCATGGCCAGCAGTGATTCCTGAGGCAGGATCAAACCCTGGCACTGCTGGGTGTGGTCCAGAACCAAAACTCGTTCTGGCCATTGTAGCTGGGCATAATCAAGAGTAAAGGGCTCAGGTATTTGCCCCCAAGTATTTGAATAGACACTTCATAAGGCAGATATACAAATGTCAGAGGTTCACATAAAAAGATGCTTAGTGGGCTAGAGAGATATTACAGGGGGTAAGACTTGTATGTCGCCAGTCCTGGTTCAATCCCTAGCACCAAATGCGATCCCCTGAACACCAACCCAAGAGTAAGCCCGGTGGCCCCCAAGCAAAAGATGTTTAGTATCATTAGTAACTTGGAAATGAATATCAGCCCAGTGAGATATCACTTCACACTCAGGTGTGATTATTTTTTGTTAAAACAAGGGCCAGAGAGGGGCTGGAGCAATAGCACAGAGGGTAGGGCGTTTGTCTTGCACGCGGCCGACCCGGGTTCGATTCCCAGCATCCCATATGGTCCCCTGAGCACCACCAGGGGTAATTCCTGAGTGCAGAGCCAGAAGTAACCCCTGTGTATCGCCGGTGTGACCCCCTCCCCCCAAAAAAACCCCAAAAAACCAAGAGCCAGAGAGATAGTACAACAGGTGGAGTGTTTCCCTTGCACATGGCTAGCCTGAAGTCAATCACCAGCACCCCATATGGTCCTCCAATCCCTGCCTAGAGTGATCGCTGAGCACAAGAGCCAGGAGTAAGCCCTGAGCACAGAGCCAGGAGGAGTAAGTCCTGAGCACTGCCATGGATGGCCAAGAAAACAAACCAAAGAACAAAGGAGAATGGAGCAAGACTAGTGCCTCCTACTAGCTCCCCATCCAGGAGAAAATCAACCTCACAGTGGCATTTCCCGGGCACAGAGTCAGTCAGCAACCCGACCTCAGCTCTCCAGAACACACGGAGAGAAACGGAGAGCCACGTCCACACGAACACGTGTACTGTGGTGTTTATGGTGGCGTTCCTCCAGACCAGCCAGGTCCATCAGCTGGTGAGCAAATGGATCCATGCTGGGCCTCCTGTTACGGTGTTACTCAGCTGGGAAACTCTCCCCCACCCCACCCCACCACAAGGCCCTCGTGTAGGACAGCCTTGGAAGCCTGTGGCATGAGTCAGACAGGACGCCACATCTTCGATGATTCTGTTTATGTGAGGCTCCTGGCCAGGCAAACCTGAGACAAGCAGCATGGAGCAATGGGACTGGTTTTAATAAGATCATAAGGACTCGGGACTGGAGCCATAACACGGGGTAGGGCATTTGCCTTGCACGCGGCACACCTGGGTTCAATCCTCAGCACCCCATATGGTCCCCCAAGCACCACCAGGAGTAATTTTTGAGTGCAGAGCCAGGAGTAACTTACCCTGAGCATTGCTGGGTGTGACTCAAAAAGAAAGCCAAAAAAGAAAAAAATCAAATGGGCATAGGAGCTAGAGCCATAGTACACTGGGGGAACACTAGCCTTGCACATAGCTGACCCAGGATTGATTCCCAGCACCTCCTGAGCACCTCCAGGAGTAATTTCTGAGCTCAGAGTCTAGAGTAACCCCTGAGCATTGCTGGGTGTGGCCCCAAACCAAATACAAGCAAACAAAAAATCAATAGGCATAAAGCATTTGCTTGCAGCAGCCGTGACTGCCCCTGGATGTGACAGCATCACGCCAAGGAGGACAGATAGGTGGACCCGTGTCCACTTTTCCGTCCACCTGTGCACATCTGCCTTCTCTGGGTCCAGCCCTGGGCTGGATCAGAGTCATGTCACCTCCATGATGGCCTCCTGCTTGCCTGTCTATTGAGGGTGCTTCTGAAGGGAACGGGCAGCAGGCCCCATCTTTTGAGTAAGGATATGGATGACAACTCTCCTGTTGTCAGGCAGTTTCTTTTGGGGAGTAGAGTCACACTCCGTGATGCTCAGACTCCTGGCTCTGCACTCAGAACTTACTCCCAGCAGCACTTGGAGGATCAAATCCACATCAGCACATGTGCAAGGCAAACACCTGACCCAACCCACTATCACTCCAGCCCCAAGTGTCTTTGAACATTTGGCAAGGGCTATACCTTGCAGACCTCGGGGTCTCCTCCCAGCTCTGTGCTCAGGGGTCATCACTTCCAATGGTACATAGTGGACATTGTGGTCAAGGGATAGAAATAGGGGTTACCTGCATTGTCCCCCAAGTAAGGCAAGCTTCTTTTTGGGAACTAGATGG